CAACATGACCAGGCCTATAGAAATGTAATTATTACAGTATAATGGTATATACAGAATCAATCTGTATTTTATTAGCTTTTAACTGAAGTAGGAGCTGGCGTCAAAAATACTGGGCTTGCTGTCACCTCCTAAAGGCTTTTTTGATAGGAAGACTGTATATAGAGAAGGAATATGAGAATTGCTAGAAATAAAGAGTAGGACTAGTGAAGGCAAGTAAGAGATGGAGCTCAGAAAGAAAATTAAGTAATTTGTCTTTCTCTTGGGGACATTTATATCTTCCTTTCACTTTTCCAGAGAAGGAGTCTGTAGACTCCTCTGCTTCCCCTTGCTTGACCATCTGTGGTAGTCAAGCAAGCTGAGTCAGATTTTGGCTTAATTTCACCAATATAAAATGACATTATTTTCTATCTGGTTTTGCTTGCTTCTGGTTTTAGTCTTCCTCTGGCAGATGCAGGATGGGGGTAGTGGTATCTGTCACCTTCAAAGATGAGTGGAAAGAGCTTGCTGGCTGGGATTATATGAGATGAGCTGGTGGTTTTTGGGGAATGTGTTGGCACTGGAGTGGCAGGGGTACTTTTCCATGCCCTCTCCTTGCACCACTTGTGTAATGCCCTTGTTGTCACTGGGTCCTTGTTACCCACAGATGTTGATCACTTAATTACTCAGCCGTGTCCACCAAACTGCTCTTATACCTTCCAAGCAAGTGGGTCTCTCTTGAAAAAATTCTGCTGCATACTCATGGCCTGCTCTCTGGTTAAAGCCCAGACAGGACTGCCAGCTGAGCTTGAAGTCTGTTGGGTCTTCCCCCTTTGTTAACTGTAGAATAGCTCCCTTTTAAAAGCCTTGCTTCTTGTCTGAGCTGAATTGTCACCTTCCCTCCGTGCTTTAGAAAGGTGGTGAGACAACCCTGAGGTGGGATCTCAGTGGGATGGCAGCATGGATATGAGTCTTCATGCTGCAATCTATCCACTTGTTCATTCTTGCCTTACAGTTCAAAAGACTCATAATTGCTTGATATCCTCTGCTATTAAAATCTCCGCTTCTGCAGGAGTTGTCTCTTGTTTGAATTGTGGCAACAGGCTTTTTGCTTTGCTTCCTGCTGCTTCTTGACAGCTGGTCTTGACAAGCACTTCAGAATTACTGCTGTTTTGTTAATTTTCTGTTTTTTTTCACCCTCTCCTGCTACACTTACATTGCGCCAGTGTTTATTTGACCACATACTGATTCAACATTTACCATTCCTAATTAGGATCAAAATATTGCTTTGACATTTACCTGAAACTTAAGGTCTTTGTTGCTAAGACATCCCACTTCACAGAGTTTCTCTAATGTAAGGCACATTACTCATACTCTTATTTGTTGGGGGTAAGTCCTGTGCTTAGTGATGCCCATAAACCTTAATGAGAAATTTGCTTACAGTGACTGGGCAGGACATAGCATCTCTGCAGTAAGAGTGTTTCTGGTTATTGCATTTTTTAAAAAGCCTTTCCTTGTCATCATCATCATCACACATTGGGGAAATGTACTAATTTTAGAAGGAAATAGCATTAGGGCAAATTGAGCAAATGGCGAAGTTCCATCACTGGTAATCATTGGTAATGATCCCACGTTTAAAATTAGCTTTTCTGTTTTTTAAACTCTTTGACATGCACTGTCTAAATTACATGGGAGACATCTATGTCTAAGTAATTTCCTCTGCTTTCCTTCTTTTATTTGTTCTGCTGCTTTTTCTTTTCCTTTTCTGTTTCCATCCTGCATGTGCTTTCCTAATGCAATTCTGATTCACAGTTTAATTCACCTCTTCTTTGTTTACCTATTTAAATGCAGTTACTGCTGAGAGTGAATTTAACTACAGTAATATGCCAAAGAAATATACTGATGGAGCAGTTGAAGTCTGTTTCCTACTTTCTCAGGCTGTTGCAGATTTGGCCAGACAGCTTTTATGAACATTTACTACTGACAGCTGAGAGGATTACAAAACTTTATACTTTTAAATTGAAATCTCCCAGCTCAAGGCTGATTGAAATCAATGGTAGAACTCTCAGTAATCTTGTTAGAAACAGAATTAACTCAGGTCAGTGCTTTTTAAATGTCTCATTCTTGATTTCTACTTAGTCTGTATACTACAAACCATTATTCATGGAAGTTGTTCTTACTAGGAGGAAGAAGTTTATTGTTCCACCATGCCAGAAAAAGCAGAGCAGCAGCTTGGTCTCAGCCTCAGTCCTATAAGCTGTGTAATGCTTCTTTGGTAGTGCGTTTTGTGTGTACTCAAGTCTATGTGTTCTTAACCTCTGGAGTATCTGGAGTTGAAAGAAGAGCACCCTGTGGACCCCTTTCCCTGTCACATTCAGGGGCAGACACTTGGCTTACTCCTGACCCTAACCTCAGCTCAGCACTTTGTGCTTTGTGCTTACCATGTTGAAGAGTCATACCTCAACCCTTTCTTGCCTGTGTTAAATATTTTTGTACCTCAATTGGATCCCGTATTCTGCCATTTCAAAGCTAAGTATTTTAAGCTGTTCATCATAAGACATACCTACCATTCCTCAGTGTTAGTCTTCCTGATCTCCTCTTGGATATTACCCAAAATGTGCATGTCCTCCTTTAAACTTGAAGCCTCAGCTGCAGTACGCCCTGTTCCCAAAAAAGGCTTGATGAGAGGAAGGCAATAGAGTGGTTTTATCATCTCTTTTGCTTTATGGACAGATTCACCCCCCTCCCTGGAGCTTTACCTCCTGCTGTTATTTGCCAGGATGTTAGCTATGCTTTAGGAAAGTTCACCTCTGAAGGATACAACGACACCAGCTATTAATCTAGATTAATACAGTTTCATATCTAAGCCCAAAATATCTAGTTTAAAACCAATTAAAAAGTGCAATTCCAGCTTGTTTTTCCCACACTTCTACCCTTTCTCCCCATGTATTATTCAGTGCTGCCTTAGCAATTAAAACATATTTTTAAGGCCATATATATAGATGCCTTTTAAAGAGACATGCACATTCAAAAAAATATTTTTCCATACCAGTTCCAGTATGGCAAAAAAATGTGTTAGACTGTGGTACATGGTAGATAATCACAAGTGTTTATTTCAACAAGCCTAAAAGTGAAGGTGTAAGTATGCAATATCATCTCATTTTTCTTATGGGGATCAGCACAGTCTCTTTGGCTTGTTTTGATTTTCTTGGAAAACAGGAAAATTGCATTAATGTATTTAAGTAAGAAGTAATAAGAATGGATCTCCCATGAGCAAAAATTTGGCTTCTGTAATTTGAAATATTCCTTTTTTACACTTAAAAGCAAAATTAGATTACAGGAGAACATGCAAGAAATGAAAATGCATTTGGAAGAGTCAGAGGAAGCTTTTTTAAGATTTTCATAGTGCTTCTCTCCTACCTTTTTTTGTGGGAGGCAGCTTGAGAAGGGAGGGGAACAGCTTAGGATGGCTCTTTAACCTGCCAGAGGGGAGATTGAGATGAACTCTTAGGCAGAAGCTCTTCCCTGTGAGGGTGCTGAGGCGCTGGCACAGGGTGCCCAGAGAAGCTGTGGCTGCCCCATCCCTGGCAGTGTTCAAGGCCAGGTTGGACACAGAGGCTTGGAGCAAGCTGCTCTAATGGAAGGTGTCCCTGCCCGTGGCAGGGATGAGCTTTAGTGTCCCTTCAACCCAAACCAGTTTGTGATTCTGTGATTTTTAAGAACCAGTTCATAGTGGAAGGTGTCCCTGCCCGTGGCAGGGATGAGCTTTAGTGTCCTTTCAACCCAAACCAGTCTGTGATTCTGTGATTTTTAAGAACCAGTTCAACTAGGTCATGTGAAAATGCCCGCACTGCAGATATTTAGACAAGGTTGTCTTAAACTAGCTGACAACCAGAAGTTACATGCATACATTTCCACAATACAGAACAAATGAACTCCTACTATATGTTTTTGGAGCTGTTTAGAGCCGCTCCACTTCTCTGCTGCAGGAAGCCAGGAGTCATTATTTTCACACCTCATGTTGTTGTCCCGTCTTAATTTTCTGTGTTTGTAACTGCTGCCAATTGGCCTGGAGGATGGATGTGGTCTGAGAAATTTTCCAGCCATTGTAATAAGCCTGTGGACCATGAAAACTAATGGGGTCCTACTGAATGCCCTTTCATGTGGGCAAAGCAGGCTGGCAGATTGCTTCCTGGCTGTCCCTGCAGAGCCCAACCGGGAAGTTAACTTTCAGTATTGGCAGCACCAAATGTTCACAACTCAGCTGCCAGGCTTCTGAAATCATGAAATTGGGTTAAAAAGGAGAAGATTAAAAATAACAATCTGCAGGATTCTTTTTCGTTGACTTCTAAGCTAAGGGAAAGACTTGACTTGTGTTGTCAAATGTTTCTTCAGACTCAGCCTTTTAAATTCATGTGAAATTTCCTCCCAACTCTAGGTGTAGTTTCCAGATGACTATAGGCATCATGGGTCTTGGAATGAATTTGTGAAAGTTTGGAAAACAGATGATGATTGTGATATGCATTGACTTAAAAATGTCATCTTCCCAAAGAAGAGAAGCAATATACTGTGACTCAGAGAAGACGTCAAATGAAAATTCCTTTGCTAGCATGGCCAAAAAGTCAGAGGAATGGCCCAGTGCCCACCACATTTAACTACTGTAGTTGTAAAATTGAAGTTTGGAAGGTTTAGTTCTTTGGCCCTGCAGTTTTCCATGTCTCCAGCTTTTTGCACCTTCCTCCACTCCATGCGTATGTATGTTGTTTATGAGCACAGATGATTACTGGCCTCCCAGTTTGGCTGGGGAGTCTGGTATTGTTTTCAGCCAATGACTTGTAAAGTCTATGGGAGGGGAAAATTGGTTCTTTCCACCTTGAGATGATGTCTTTTGGTTCTTGATATGTTATTGGTTTTGATGAATGTGTCATAGTCGCATTTCTGTGTTAAGAAAAAGGACATTGAGAACTCATGCTGATAGACTTAATGAATGATATCAAATATAAACTGCCTCGTTTTCTTGTTAGAGGACTGCAGTTTAGCTGGCAGAATGGTGAGGAATTGGCAAATTGGACCGGCACCTTTAATTTCACGGATGACGGAGCAGTGAAGAGTGGCAGTGACACAGGCACCAGGTACCAACACCCGAGGGAATGACTAAAGAGACCTCTCTCTGTTTGTATAAAGCATAACTTGAGTGCAGGCTGTATGAAAAATGAGATTTGCAACCTTCTTTGGCTGCTTGGTACTACTCCCCATGGCACAGAAGATGCCAGGGATACACACACGCTGTGCTGTTTAACCCCTTCAAGGCTTTGGGGCCATTTTGTAATATGCCATATTCACCTGTGCAGTACACAGGATGGGGACTTCCATGTCCTGGTCTCTCCTATTTCTGTTCTCCCACCAATGCTATGTGTCAATGTGACAGTGACAGTTTGGGAGGGTGGGACTTGGGTGAAGAATGTCCCAACATGACAGTATTGATGCACACAGAGGACACTGGCCCAAGGCTTCCTTTATAAGAGAATATGTATTCTAAAATACCCATAGTTTAAATTGAAATCCTTCCAGGGCCTAGTAGAGAAAAATGTTCTATATAGATAAGACTGTAGTATTTCCTTTATTGACACTGCTTTTAAAATCTGAGAAGCACTGATGTGCTGTTGAACTTTTTGTACTGATTTGTGGCAGGATCCTTTTGACTGGCATGTATCTGAAGGGTCATGGAGAGCCATGTGCATAGTGAGGAAACTGGCTATAGTCGTGCCTCAAGAGCTCCATAGCTATCACAGGCCATCTGCATAAATACAGGTACAGGTACAGGGTGAATAATTGGGGTATCTTCCTGGAACCTCAGTTGTAGAAGTTAAAAGTCCTAAGTCATGTATAGTATCAAGTTCAGTAAGTAGCAGGGATATTTTAGAAAGACTGTAGGTGAAAGAACAAATAAAATGAATTAAAATAAGTTTACAATTAATACCTATGTGTAAATAAAACACTCCCTGGTTAAATGACATATTTTGTTTAAAAAACCTTCATTGTGTTAACTGTACACCACTGTAGCTGTGGAGTTGATAGCATTTCAAAGGCAAGCAGAAGTGCAAAGCCTGACCTGCCAAAACCCATCCAGTGTCACTGAATCACAGCAATGCTGCAATTCCTGTTGCTGTAACCTGATCCTGTATGAACAGTACTTGCTGATTTAACTAGTTAAGGTTCTTTAGAAAATGAACCAAAGTAGGCTGCAATTTTTCACTCAGAGGAAGGGAAAAATGGTTAATTATCTATGTATGTTGCTATCTATCTATCTATCTATCTATCTATCTATCTATCTATCTATCATCTATCTATCTATCATCTATCCTTTTGTTGCCTTCTTTGTGTAGTCTGTAAAGTCTCCAGTTTAGGCCCTTGGCATATAAAAGAAGTGAATGTAGCATAAAGATGTGAGAATATTAATAAGTATAGATTTCCCCCTCTATATACTCTTTCTTGTCAGAAACAGTGAAGCATCATTGCTTGCAGGATAGGGAAGCAAAACTCTTGACTGCAAAATACATACTATGTGCAAGGCACTGAATGCCACTACTATTCTTAATATGTTTAGCCTCTTGACAGACAAAGAGGTTCAGGATGCAGGTGTTTTTTTTATACAAACAGGCTCAAGCTGCACAAGTTAGACAAAAATTTCAAAGGTTATAACATCAATAAAAGATGTCAGTTTCAAAGTCTATGTCGTGTTAATGACTATGGATCTGAAAGAGGGGGATTTTGAGTTAAAGGCTGCAACACACATTGCACATAAGTGTGTTGTGGATTTTATTTATACATTTGCCTACTGTCTGAAAGCCAAGAATATAATAAAATAAAATAGAACTGTATTATATATATTATATATATAATTTTATATATATATAATATATATATTAGAACTGGAGGTGAGAGTGTGGTGAGTACTGTGTCATAAATTGTTTACTATTTACCTTTAATCACCTTTCTTGCTGTGTCATCACTAGACATCCTCTGAGGGTCTTAATCTGACACCCCACTTCAGGCTGTTGAAATGAATTGAAAACAAGCCTTCCTGTGATGAATAATTCTTTCAACCAAATGGAAAACTTGCAGACTGCATTTTACTGACCTGATTTTACTTGTATATATTTATAGGTCTCCAGAGAGATGTCTAAAGTGCACAAAACTATTTATACGTCTGTGGTATTAACCCATGTATATTCTACAACTACTCTTTATGTTTTAATTATGTAACTTAATATATAGTGTAGAGACACTGACAACTCATTCTGTAGGAGTGATTTGTTGGATAAAAATGAAGGACTTTGAAAGCAAAAGCACACTGAGAGAATAAAAGTGCATTAGAATTACAAGATAGCCGGTCTTCACAAGAGTAGTGTCCATATCAGAACAGTAAAGATTAAACGTCGCATGAAAATTGTAAGTAGGAAAGAAACAAAGAATGTCATGTTATTGATCTCAAGATAAGCTAATTCAGACCTTAACTGATGTACAAAGTTAAAGAGTGGCTTGCAGTTGGAATGTGTTTACTGTGCAGGGGAGTTCATTACACAGCTTCAGAAAATGAGCCATTTTTTTGTGCCATTTGCTTGAGCCATTGCTCAAGCAAAAATACCTTTTGCTTTTTATCTTTCACTATGTATTACAAATCTTACAACATTCTTGTGGGGTGTCATGATTTAAGCCCAGCTGGCAACCCAGAAAACATGCAGCCGTTTGCTCACTCCCCGTCTTCTTCCCCCCAGTCCCGAAGGGATGGGAAGGAGAATTGAAATAATGTAACTCCAATGGGTTGAGATAAGAACAGTCCAGTAGCATGTATAACACAAACCACTGCTGCTACCACCAATAATAGTAATGATAAGGGAAATAATGAGGGAAAAGAATACAATAGCTCGCCACCCACCGACTGATACCCAGCCCGACCCAAGCAGTGATCTAGCCCTTGTGGGTAACTGCCCCCAGTTTATATACTGGGCATGACGTGCTGTGGAATGGAATACTTTTTTGGTTAGTTCTGCTGAACCCAGGACATGGGAAATCAGGTAAAACGTTCTACCTGGTGCAGTCCTAGAGCCTTGATTCCTCTGTTGTCTTTTTAATGTTTTACAATTTACTGGGGTTTTGAGTCTTCATGCTTAAAGCATTTTCTGCTGCCAAGAAGCTGTCTTAGTGATATGATGATCTTTCTGTTATATTGGTTGGGTTATGATGTTCTCTGCCACTGGTCCGAGTTGAAGATTTCAATGTAAGACTTAGGTGTTGACACCACAGAAGCCTTTCACAGGTGAGAGAAGACATGAGCTTTATGCTTTTGGGCCTGTCAATTTGTACAGTGAGTTCTTCAGTATGACAAATCTGGAGCTTTGTCCCCAGTGGCTACAAAATAGATGTCTAATCAGTTGGATTCATCAAAATCACATTTTTCAGACAAAATCGCATTTTTCAGTAAGGCCTTGGGCCATCAGACCTCATTGGCCAGGACAGCAGCTGAAAATGTACCCACTGCTGCTTGTCAGCAACTGGTCATGTTTTGATACAGCTACTGTGAAAATAAAAAACACCAAAGTGTACCTAAAACAAGAATTCGGTATACTCTCCAATAAATCATTCTAGGTGACACATTTTACAGTAGGAAAACCTCTAAACAAAGATGCATGGCAATCTGTGGGAGAGATGACCTAGAAAGCACAGGGGGTAGTGGTGTTGATTTGGAAGTATGGTCTGCAAGGTGGGCTTATCAGATGTGGGTGAGCAGCCTGCAGATGTACCCTGGATTTTGCTATGTCATTTAGGGCTGTTTCTGCTTTAGCTCCTGCTGTTACACCTGCAGCTGTTGCAGCAGAGCTGTATTGGGTAGTATATGAGACCAGTTGTAGAGAGAGTAAGAGGACAGATGAGAAGGGAACAGCGTTAGCATTAGCTGATTAGCTGGAGTGGCTGTTTGCTCAATTCATACTGCTGTTGTGGTATTGGGTAGCAGAGCCAAACAATCCTCAAATGATAAAGAAAAGGCTCTGGGAACACCTAAGAGCAGCTTCCAGTACCTGAAGGGGGTCTACAAAGGGAGAGGGGCTTTGGACAAGGGCCTGTAGGGACAGGCCAAGGGGAATGGCTTTAACCTGCCAGAGGGGAGACTGAGATGAGCTCTTAGGCAGAAGCTCTTTGCTGTGAGGGTGCTGAGGCGCTGGCACAGGGTGCCCAGAGAAGCTGTGGCTGCCCCATCCCTGGCAGTGTTCAAGGCCAGGTTGGACACAGGGGCTTGGAGCAAGCTGCTCTAGTGGAAGGTGTCCGTGCCCGTGGCAGGGGTTGGAACTGGATGAGCTTAAAGATCCCCTTGAACTCAAACCACTCTGTTAATTCTGTGATCTGTGTGTTGAGATGTGAAGACAGATCAAGATCAGAATGTCAGTGCCACTTTGCCAGGAGCTGTCAAAGTCATTATGAAAAACATATCCTCAGGGTATCACAGCTATGGTCAACTGTACAAACATGTAAACTGTCTGTGAAGTTAGGGGAGCAGATCAAACAGGAAATCTAGAAATGGAGCACCTCTGAGATTTGACAGATGGGTGAATACACTTTTCTAAGGTTACTTGTGAGGTACATGTAGGTATCAATGAACTGCTTTTAAAGGACAGAAATATGAAAGCCACTCCTCTTCTCTGGAAGATCACACGAATTTAGGGCTGGTTCATGGAAACACTTTTGTTGTTTTGTTTTTTCTAATTAAAAATCTTCAATTTGGAAGATAAGCAGGCTATCTTGGGAAGCTGACTTTGTCTTGGTGGATGGACATTTCTGATGCTGTTTATTATGAAAATCCAGACAGATTTGTCACACTGTAAAGAAACAAATCTAGCCAAGCCTTTCAAAATATCCTAGGTGGATAATCAGGAGGTTCATGGGTTAATAGCTTTTAACCTCAATTGCTTGAATCTCCCGGGATACATGAGCTCTTGTACAAGAATTACAGCTCTTGATTTTATTTTTTTTTCATTACTCTGGTTCTTCTAGAAAGAAAACCAGCCTTGCATTAGAAATGCCATTTCTGTCTTTAGCTTCCAGCCACTGGATTTTATTTTTCCTCGCTATACTG